CCTCAGTAGTAGCAAAAGGGATTATAATAATTTTGAGGTAAACAAAACGATGAATTAACAAGACAAACACGTTAATTCTTCAGACAGAAACTGAAGATGTAGTCACAACTTCTTTCCAGTAAGCTATATTTCTATTCACAACATTTAGCTCAATAAAAGAATTCTTTATGGTAGGTTAAAAAAGCTGGTCCACTTCAGCACAGCTTTCATTCGAGTGTCCTCCATCCTAAGAATTCCCCCTTCATATATATTATTGTTTCCTTTAATTCCTAGATGAACATAGGGCTTCAGCCGCACGTCACCACTGCGTTCGGTTCTCTGCTAGAGTCTTCACCTGGCTCCAAGTCTGCCCACACGTTTTCATCTCCTCTTCACATGACCTCCTCCAAGTCACCCTTGCAATGACGACCAACTCGCCGCTTCCCTTTCGGGTTCCACTCGAGCAATGGCTTGTCTAGTGATGTCACTTTATGGTTTTCTCAGAGTATGGCCAGCCAATCCATCTCCATTTCTTCCTGCCTATTTGTTTCACAATCGGTTCCTGCTGTGTTGGTTGGTTCGCTCATTGCCAGAGATCTCTGTTTCTGATCTTTTCTGGCCGGCCATCTGATCTTGAGTATTGAGCGAACACAACTGTTAATGAAGGTCTGTGGTTTGTTTGAGATGCTTTTTATGACGCGCCAAGTCTCTGATCCGTATAGTAGCACTGACTGACTTCACATTGGAGTTGAAAATCCGGATCTTATTTTTTATGCTGAGTGCTGTTGACCTCCACAGTATTTGAAACGATGCTTCCCATGTAGGTAGGTAAAGGAGGTTGTTTCTTTCAGGTTCCTTCCATTTATGCTGATTGTTGTCTGTTGTTGTTGCTGTTAGTGGTGTTGGCCAGGAATCTTCATCACCTCTGTTTTCTCTATGTTCACCTGAAGTCCTATCTTTGATGCTTCTCTGCTAACTTGCTGCTTTTCGCATCTATATATATATATATATATATAAGTAGAAATTGTCAGGTAAAAGTGAACAGAGTACACTGAGGATTATATACTTGTCATATAACTAATGACAATATTGTTAGTTCCTTTATACTACATTACTTGACAGGTTTTTCCTCTGAAATATCACCTGAATTATGTGAAGAACCATCAGGAAACAGTTTACCTGACCTTGTGTTGTCGTTGTTTATAGAAAAGTGTACAATTGCAATGTAATTTAATAATTTCCAAAGTTACACTAAGGATACACTATTCAACGGAAGCAGTATTTTCACTGGATTTATAATCAAGATCTATAGTCGTATACATGTGATTTTTTAAATGAAACTATATTCATTGAGGAAATCTTAAACAGAAGGTGTGAATATTTATAATTTAAATGTGAAATGCAATAAAGTGTTTGTGATTTTCGCCATAGTTCAATATTAAGAGATAAAACAGGTCGTGTAATACACACAATTTTGGTTTCTAACTTTCACTATTATTTAGCAGTTTATTTAAATGGAAAAACACTATTCGGTATATTTTTTGTCAAGTTAAATCTTTGCGTTAGTCGGTGGTTTTCCTTCCTGTTGTGCTGTAATGCCTATAGATTCTGCTTGCTTAGGTGCTTACTTCATAAACTATTGTTTATTTCATCTTCCTCTGTTAAAGACTGTCATCTTACTTTGTAGGCTACAGATCATTTGACTGATTGTGCCTCAGTGATCAAATCACTGACTAGTGAACATTGTAGTGAATGAATTCGGCACAAATGGATTTATCATCTATCAGCTGGAGGATGTTCCATCCTTGACAGCTGAACACTTATTTATCGCATCCGCATAAATGTTGAACAATCAACATCATAATTCCAATTTTTACAATTCAAGCTCTAGCATCAGGGCATTATTTCACATTTTGTATCACTTTACAGATTATTGGAGTAATAGTAACGTGGATAAAGTGTCTAGACACCGCATATTACTAATTTTTCCATAGATATAACTATCAGTTTGGGAGAATAGTTAGCCTGAATAATTTCACACATCCCTTCGTAATTTCAACTTCTAAATGTGAGATAAGTATTATTATTCCCACTTCTCTAGATATTCTTACATTCAGCTTATTATGTCAATAGTTAATTTTGAATTTGTATCAAAAATCACTGGCCTACACAGCAAGAGTGTGGTGGTGGCACAGCGGTAGAATGCTTGCCAAACACGTCACACGTGGTCCGGGGTTCGATCCCCGGCCACCGACGTACTCCTCTACCTCGCTGAGCCAGAAATAATGCTGGTAAAGATAAAAAGTTGGGCATGGGGTTAGCAACCTCATCCTGTAAAATAAACACTGCTACAGAAACTTCAATCCACTAGCTTGAAGCCTTATGTTCCACTGGGGAACGTGAAAGAAAAAAAAATCACAAACCAAGTAAGTTTCATACCTTTCCACCTTTTCTCAAAGTTCTTCATCTTACTGAGGTCGGTCATTCAACACCTAGCTAAATGTTTATTTTCTAATAATATGACTGCCCTGATCTACCAATCTGACCTATGTAGTTAATCTCAAGGTCATTGCTAGGTATTTTGTAGACTAAATCATTCTGTCGAATTGAGTCAATAGGATTCTTCAGTGGACAGAGCTTGGCCACAAGTGGGTTTATAGGTTTAAATGCCATTCTGAATCCTACGTAGGATTTCAGATGTCCATTCCTTATATGGTAAAACTGTAGATCTCTTAAATTCCTTCTTATTTACATTACAGCCGATGGTTACATTTCTATATCTCATTTTCTTGTGGAGCTCTGTGACCTTAACGAGTTTTACAGCACTAATACTTCTTCTAAATATTTCACATGATTATTTAGGTTTCCTGATGTACTATTTAGAGTTATCACTCTTTAGCACCTTCCTCTGGATTTTATGCTTTCTACACTGATAAAATGTTTTCTCTATTTCCCTTGTCTGCAGCTTTTTCAATGCCTCGTTTGTTCAAAAATTTTGCAAAAGTAATCACACTGAATACTACTTACAAGTTCTTACTAGTAGTATACACCACATTGTTATTGTGAAAGTGACTTCGTTTTAAACTTTTTACAACTCGACATCAATTCAGATATGTTTCTGGAGAGTAATTAATTGTGTAAATGGATTTTACCAACTGTTGATAGGATCATCAACAGGTTTAGTTTATTCTTATGCAGCTGAATTATTTTTTTGTTTGACGATGAATATTAGGCCTTTGTTTGACAGCATCAAATGTGTACACTACCTAGCTTGTGTTAGGAAGTCTATCCAGTGAAGAATCCTGAGAAAAACGAAACGCGCACCCTGTATTCCAGTACTAGTCACCACCAAGAAATTATTATTAAAAAATATTCTAGAATTGAAAAAGAATGTTGCAAATTGAAGAAAGGTTTAAAATCGATAATATCCTTAAGTAAAGATGAGATAATTTGACCAAACAGTGGTCAAAAGGTATTCAGGTCAGTGGTATATTATTATTATTCCCTTGGGTTCCTAATGGAATATAGGGCTTCAACAATGCATCTTAATTATGTTATATTCTCTGCCATTCTCTTTAGTTGGGTCTAAGATTCTCTATCATCTCTCATCGACTCGTTGCACGATCGCCTCCATGTTACCCTCTCACTGACGACCCACTTGTCGCTTCCCATTCGGATTCCACTCGAGTAATGGCCTGCATTGCGCGCAATGTCATCTAATGGCCTTCTCAACGAATGTCCGATGAATCTCAATTTTCTCCTACATATTTGTTGAGCAATCAGTTCTCGCCTGTTGGTTTGTTGCCAGCCAGAGTTTCTTGTTGCTAGTTCTTTTTAATGGGCCTGTCAGCCATTTGATCTTCAGTATGCAGCCAACGAAGCGGGCAGCTCTTGATAAAAGTCTGTAAATTGTTGGAAATGCTTTTCGTGAAATACGGGGCAAGTTTCTCAGATGTATAGAAGAAATGACTTCACATTTGTGTTGAAAATCCGAATCTTGTTGTTTTTGCTGAGGTGGAGTTCAGAAGATATCCGAACTGGTTTCAGATTGATGAAGATGTATCCTGCCTTTCAGTTTTTGGCTGGCTTTGACATCCTCATCCGTGTCGGCAGCCTGTAGTTAAGACCATGCTTCCTAGATAAGTGAACGAAGTGACCTCTTTCAGATTTATCCAGATGATGGTGATTGGTGCCTTTTGTTGTTGCTGGTCAGGAGTACAGATAGTATTATTCGACCACCAATGAATGCAGTTCCAAAGTGGGTATTTCAGTTATAAGCTCCGGTGTTAAGTTATCGTTTTAATGGTCTAATAATACGAAAGATAATATGAATAATCTGCTCACTAGCTGGGACCTTACAGGGAAGTGAAGACACTAAGAAGGAAATAGTCATTTTACCAGTTTTTATTTAATAATAATAGCTTTATTCCCCCCAAAAAATACGTTTATACCGAGCACAAAATTTTCAGAATGTTTCATTGCAAGATATTTACTTCTTGTTCGGGATCTTCAAGTAATATAACAGTCAATAATACATTATTCGAAGCAATATTGTTCCATCAGAAGCATGTTACGACACTCCACTATGTTCATCCTGTATTTACATCAAAAAAGAATTCATAGTGGTAATGAAGTAGAAACCAATTTGAAAATGTACATGAGTATAAATTTTGATTCATTAACATAACTGGATGACTAAAACAAAATACAATGGATTCAAAAACGATACATTTTGGTGGATAGGTGTAGCCCAGTAATTTTGACTAGGCCACTGAACACGTGACTATCAACTTTCTGTCATTGATTTACAATTCGATCGATAGTTCAAAATTATCATAATTAGCTGATATAACCAACCATATGTTAATCACATATGTTAATCAGTTAACTAGATATTTAATCATACAAATACTTTTTTGTTTTCCATACTAATATTTTCGATTTTAATTTACACTTTTATGTAAAACTTTTATTGTGAAGATTCCTTATTCTCTCCACCTTCTGACTGACATATTTAACTAATGAATTGTTTAAAGTTAATGTATGATTTCCCAGCTTATTATAAATATGAAATGGGCATAGAAGATAGGCATGTGCTGAATGAACGATATTCACTGGGAACACTAATGAGTTTTATACAGCTACTTAATACTAATCAGTTTCAATCTAGTCCAATAAAAAACAGAAGGTGGTATGTTAATCACGATTGGAAACTAATTTCAGAGCAGATTAACTCTAAATCCAACCAACATGCAGATGTAATCCTTAATAGTAATTGCAATAATGGAATTAATACTTTGTTAAACAATGAAATAAACTCTGTTTCTTCCAGTTGTTCAAAAGAAAGTTTTTCAAACTTCTATGCATTAAAATCTGATCAAGCTAGATTGGGGAAATATCGACCCAAACCAAAGTACAAGCAAAGAATTAGTGCATTCGAATTCACTAGTGATCAATCAACTCAATCGGATACACCAACTCTGTCAAATCAGACACCTAGTGATTTACTTATTCAAGCTAATCATCGAACAAAGACAAGTTCTAATCGCCTGAAGGCTAAAATATGCCCGAACAGTGGTACTAGTGATTCAAAGCAACTGAAAAGTTTCATAAAAGTTAACTACACATCAGGTAATAGACATAATTCAAAGGTATCCGACACTAGTAAGTTGTCAGAGAATTCAGGGACATCAAATGACATTATTTCAAGCTTTGAAGAAGACGGAGCAGAACAGAATGAAACATCTCACAGCTATCGTACAGATAACCTTCTCCATGTTGTCAATAAGGAGACCTGTAACTCAGACCAACAACTGAACAGTCTGACACTGAGAAGCCAATGTTCATCGTGTACTACTACTACTACTACTGCGACACTGTCAGAAATTTTCGACGATACAACAACATGCAGCCAATCAGTCGGTACTGAAATCAGCGATATTTACAATGGTCCATCATTGCGTACAGTACGCTATATCGGGACAAAATTACCTACTCATAAATGGCATAGATCAGGTTCCCTGTTACAGAATAAATTAAGAAAAGAAACTGACAGTGCATATTTATCTCTAGAGCATCGTAAATGTTATACACGACATTATATTCGGAAGGCTGTATCATCTATTCATAATGTTCCACTAAATGTTTTGACTAACAAAAGTACAATTGTATGTGAAATTGCAGAAAAACGCACTGTCAATGAGGATTTCCTTCAGCCTAGAAGTTCACTGCCTAGCAGACAAAGTTTCACTTACACAGATATGAATAAAGATATACAGATATGTTCTCCCAAACGATTAGTTTGCATAAATGAAGCTAGGCAGAGTATAACAAGCAATGAAAGTGAAGGACACATGCTCAAAGAAGCTTTCCCTGGACATGATATACAAACATATTTTATTGCTACTTGTACTACTAAACTTCCATATGATGAAACATTTTCTCACTTACCTGAGAGTTCATTTCTAAAAGCTGAACACCCTGAGTATACATCGTCATCAGAGAGACAAAAGTTTAGTTTTGATTTATGTGTACCGGGAACACTTACACAGACTGAGTTCTTAGCGCAAACAGTACAAATAAAAAGTCTTCTTAATAAGCCTAAAAAGCTTATAAATATTATATTGATGAAAACTCCAGCGTTACTAAATTCAGCATTAGGTAAACACATATTGAAAAACAATGAAGTATCCTTAAATTGCACTGAGAAAAGCTCTGAACTGGAAATAAACAGTGAAGAAACTTCATCTGAAGACACTAGACAAGAATTCATAAAAGACTCTGAAACAAGTTCAAAGTCACCGTCAAGTTTAATCGTTTGCAATCCAGAGGAGACAAATATAATAACTGTATTCACAACTCCTGAATACACCCATCTCTTGTCAAGTCTATTACATCTACAAGATACCGACAAAAGTGAAGTAAAACACCCGTTTTATTTTGCATATTTAAATGATGGACCAAGTGAATCACATGGGGATTCACCTCGAAATACTATTTCACATATATTAAGTAATATAGTTGACAATTCAAATTTACTTACACCAAGAACACACTCTATTGATTCTGAGCTAACTTGCTTAACATCCAGTGAAATATTACCTGATTCGTACTTTTCAAAACGATCACATTCACAATCACAAGATGATATAGATTTGAGTCAATCTGTTGAGACTATGCCTAGTAGTCTATCTAAGCATCAACTTTTTTCTTTCCCTAAAGAAATTTTTGGAGACTGCGGAAAAATTGTCTACTGGTTTAGTAATACGCACACAACACCGAGTAATTATGCTATCCCAATCAATGCACATATATTTCCTGAAAAGTGTGTTTATTTTGAACAAATTCTATTCGGAGATACAAATATAACTTCCAGTCAATCAGTGTGTGAAGACAGAAGTGTAAAACAAGATATGCTTAAAGAATCTTTAATACCATCATTGGCTGATATTCAAATGTTCACTCCAACTGCAGTGAATCAATTAAAACAAAATATCACTGATATACAAGAAATTTGTTCATTCAATAAAACAATGACTATGAGAGATACAACAAGTGATTCAGCCTCTCATAGAACTAATGAAATGTCAAAAAATTCTTTAAGCATATTAAAATCTAGAATTTTTGATAGTTTTGATATCAAGAAGGCAATGTCAGCGAGGCGTACATCCTTTACTGAAATCACTGGATTCAATTATATGGATTATCCTATTTTTAAGGAACATTTTGATAAACTCACAATTTTATCAAAACTTAGAAATGGAAATAGTTTAAATACTTTCTGTAATATTGGTGAAAATTTAATCGATTGGAATAGTCAAATTTCACCGATATCAACAACAACAACAATGGCGACTAAGCAACAGGTTGAAGGAGTTATTACTAGCTCGAAAGAAAATGAACACTCGTCATCAACAGAAGCACCTGGAATAGAAAGAATCATTAACAAAGAATTAATAAATTTATGCGACTCAATAAACGTGAGTGATTTACGTTATGGTGATGCCATTGTCAGTTCATGTCAATCATCCAAGTATCAATTGTCATTTAACGATCAGAAAGTGATCTCATCAGTAGTTAAGAGAAAAGTGAAAGAAACTCCATCATCTTTAGATTCAGTAAATAAGCCTAAATTTAACAGAAACACCTCACGTAGTTCATCTCTTGTAAAAGCTGAGCAAAAGATTCATAAACCTGTTAAACCGTTGAATAGAATAACCAATCCCCCAGCAAATAATCAGTCCTATACTCAAGCGAGGAGAAATAAGCATGGCTATGAAAATTCAACAGTTGCAGCTAGTGTATTACATAATAAAGTAAGACATTTGTCGTCAAACAGGTCGACGTATTCATCTCGTCCAAAGAGGCTACCATCTTCTAATATGACCAATGGATTGAGAAAGCCTTCAGTAAAGAAAAATGTATTCGATGAAAAACAAGATTCTAAAAGTCACTATGGTCCTCTGTACTTTTCTTATTTTATGAATGATCTTCACCTTAGTGGTAGTGAGGATCATAATAAGAAAGACGATAGCCTATCGAATGTGTTACAGGATTCGAAGAAGACAGTGAAGAAAGTCCCCGAAATTGTATCAGTGAATGAGCAAAATAAAGTATTTCATGAAACTATCAAACCTGCCAACTTAGATCAAGTTACTAACAATTCTAAGTCAATGAATTTGCTACCAACTAGTGATATTGTCACTATATCAGCAAAGACAGCATTAGACAAACAAGATAAAGTGACAGAAACAGGGAAATATGTACCATCATCTCTCAGGGAGATATCCGATATGAATAGACCATTTCGGAGAACAAACACTTCACCTAATTTGAGATGCAAGATTAAATATCCACACGGAAAAACAATTGAAACACGTACTGAATGTAGTAAAGAGGTACTAGAAGATGATTTGAAAGAGCAGACAGAGAATTGGATCTCGAGCATTAAGAATGAGACGACTTATGATAAACGGACAGATGTTGGTCCTAGAGCTTTCTCCCCCCTTGTTTCACCGACTGTTACTGGGTCTGATCATCATAGTCAAAGGAAGTCTGAAGGTAAACAGGAGATTAGAGAGGAATCGTATCACTTTAAGAAAACAGAATTTTGGTGTTGTGGTATTTGGCGTCGAAGTAAAAGCCATTCACGTTGAAAGTAAGCATTATTTTATGCATCGTAATATTGATCAACGCGAATGGCACGCACTGATAGGCTTATTTATTAATCCTACTCATGACACTCCAGATTTGTTTCTCTCTAGGTGAAAAGAAGCGGGAAAAGTGGACGAGAAGAGGAAAACGCCGTCAAAGATTAGAAAAAAAAGAAGCCCGATGAGCTTTTTCAGTCGGTCTGGAAATGACACATATAAACCTCATCTTTTGTTTTTTAAATAACATTCTCACTTCAAAATCTTCTTTAATATATTTCTCCTTTAGGTTTTGATTATTTTCGCCTTAACTTATTTAAAATTAAACACGTAAAAAGAAAAAAAGTGAGATTTACAAAATAATACTTATATATCATTTTATTATTAAATATAAATGAAATATTAATCTTTCAGTAAATCAAATAAAATTTGTTTGTGAATGACCAATGTCTTATTTATTTCACTATCAACTTTTCAATGAATTAATTAATTAGTTCAAACAATTGATGAGAAAGGTTTACCCGTCAAATGTCATACTGTGGAGTGACATATAAGTGAGTGATATTTTTGTCTTCTTTCAGCTGAATAGTTTCCCTGGGAAGATTCTCTTGTCCTTCTGGGTAATATACATTCTGAAGGTAAAGTAATTTGGAAAGCGCTTCAACACTACGGAGTGCAGTACCCTAAAACCTTTATAAACCTCATTCAGCAACTATATGGCAATCTCACATATCAAATGATTCACGACCGAAAGCTCAGTGAAGCCATTGACGTGAAGACAGGAGTAAGAGAAGGCTGGCTATTATCACCGATGATATTCCTGATTGAAGTGAACGGAATCATGCGGCACACCGTGGAAAGTGAGAAGACAGGAATATATTGAGACGGTGAGAGACTTCCAGAAGAACTGAACTTCAAGATGATCTGTGTCAAATATCACATAAATGCGAAGATCTACAGCTGAAGACCAACAAGTTGGAAGGAGAAGAAGAGGCAGGCAGTGAAGACAGGACTTCAAGTGAACATAGAGATAACCAACCAACAGCAACCATCAGTAATTGTCAACGGGAGAAATTTGAACGAGATAACTTCTTTCACCTATTTAGGTCACATTCTTTCAGCTTCGGACGGCAGAAATGAGGATGTCAAGGCAGAATCAGAAAGTCAAGAAAGATAATTATTAGTCTTAAATCAGTGTGGAAGTCTGTAGCACTCAGCATATGGAACAACATTCAGATTTTCAGCACTGATATCAAGTCAGCACTTCTAAGTGGTTCAGATACTTAGCGTGCGCATAACAAAAAGTCTTCTCAACAGGCTTTAAAATTTCATCAACAGCTGCCTTCTCTGTCTCGATACTGAAGATCACATGGTCAGGAAGGATTAGAAATATTGGACTCTAGCAATGAACCTAGAAATAACCTAATGCTCCATAAACACGCCGAAGGAAGTTAAGATGGATATAAACCCTCGATTGGAATCCCAATGAGAAACGATTAATTGAGTGTCCCATGGTGACATGGAGGAGATCATGTTAAGACGAAATAAGGGCCTATAGGCAATCATTAAGCCAGCGAAAAATGATGGCAGAGAACAGGTTGAAATGAAGATGTACTCCTGTGTGTAGAGTGTGTGTAAAAGAACTAGTCTCTACATGTTCAAAAATCGTACTTCCTAGTCCTGAGTGGTTTGTTCAAAATTATGAGCCATATACGTAATGCAGTCGCTCAGATAGCCCTACAATACTTTATGATTACAATGCTTAAGAGTTGATGGTAAGAATAAAAAGCTCTAGAACTAGATTTCATGACTTTCGGTAATCAATACTGAGTGAAACAACTGAGAATTTAGGATATAGCTATTATCTGGAATAGGACTTAGTACGAATTTGCCATTTTAAATATCTGATTGAAAGTTTTCAGTCACCTCAGTAATGAGTGAACAGTTGCACTGATTATCATACGCCAACCAATTTGTATCGGCAGTTATCGGCATTATTTTTCAGTATCACCTATTGACTTTAATATATATTTGGGAAATTTGAAACAATGTCATTTTAATGACTGTTGAAATACTCTCTAGTAAAACGATTTGTACATTCAGACTACTTATGAGTAGGCAAACTAAAAGTCAAAAAAATGTAAATCATGCTCACATTTCATATTTTTATTCATTCAGTGGGAAATCAAAGTTGAGTCTAAAAAAGTAGACAAATCATGATGTTGCACTTTTGGCTTTCCATTAGGAAATGTAATCATAATTACCCGTAATTAACTGATGACTGAAAAACTACTCCAACCGAGACCATCACCTTGAATAACGGAATTAAATGCCAACTTATTGACATCATTCCACAGGAATTATACTGAAACATTCTTTTTAGTAGACATGCATATATATAAAAATAACACATCCATTGAAAGTCATGGTTGGAACAGGATAGAATCCACTCAGTTTATCAACAGTTCATTCAGTGAACGTCCAGGAACATGTTTTTCTTTTTTTTGGTATTAGAGAAGTGATCAAAGTGGTTTGTTGCAATACATCACGCATACACCTATTCTCCTCAGTGATAGAAAGAGGATAAAATCAGATGAAACAGGATTACGCCGGCTAAAACTACTCTGAACAAATTAAGTCATTCGAATGAGACAGATTATTTATAATATTTTGATTTAAAAACCTTGAAGCTTGATCTTATTCAACCATTTAAATTAGTCACTTATTGGCTCAACTTTCTGAGGATTGGTAATGTGATACACATAATATTTTTATTATTATTATTTTTCCCTTGGGTTCCTAGTGGAACATAGGGATTCAACTACACGCCTCCACTTGCTTCTGTCTTCTGCTACACTTTTCACTTGCAATCATGTTGTTCCATACTGTTTCAGCTCCTCTTCACACGATCTCCTCCATGTCACCTTTCGACGTCCCACTCGCCACTTCCCTTTCGCGTTCCACTCGAGAGCCTGACGCGCGATATCACCCAACGGCCTCCTCAGCGAGTGTCCAATCCATCTCCACTTTCTCCTGAATATTTGTTGAGCGATTGGTTCTTGTTTTGTTTGTTCCCATAGTTTCTTGTTGGTGATTCTTTCCGGTCATCTGATCTTCAGTATGGGGCGAAGACAGTTGTTGATAAAGGTCTGCAACAGGCTGTTGGAAATATTCTTTGTGACCCGCCAAGGATACACATAATATATTTCTGTCTAATAAATTGAACTGCTGTCATCAGCTCGGGTGAGTTTGTCTTCTATCTTATTTTCTGTGAACTTAGAGCTGCGGTGTTCACTTGGTTAGTAATCAGTACCTTGTCTTTTATCGACATGCCTATCAGTATCGAACCCACAAATCAGCAGCAATAATATATCAGCAAGCATAACATCCAAGATGTAGAGCGAATCACCAGGAGACTATTGACATTCATCCATACATACATACCAGATTTGTGTAGAAGCAGTTTGTGATAACAGTCAGTGAACCAAATACATTTAATTCCATAGAATTTTTTTCAAGTAATTGTTTTTATAGAGGTTTAAAGTATCCAGTTGAGAAATGAATACAGACAATTCATCGGGTGGTTTGTATGAGCATTTCGACATTATCGTATTCTCTGAACTCGAGCACATCAACAGAGAAACTGTGGCGTGTACTACTGATAAGATTTACCAGTAGTATATAAAGAGATGTTCATCGGCATAAAAAACATCAAATAGTAGGGAGATACATTTAATGCGAGAGAAAGCAAACGATACAGCGTTGCAGATATACGTGGGAGACGTGAAAGGAACAAAATACGAAGGGCAGAAGTAGCGCAACACCGAAGATCTGTGCAAATGATGATTTGCAGATAATTTGCACATAATTTGGCTATATAAAAATACTAAATTTCAAATAAACATTACTTTACGAAATCTCTTATCTTCTATCGTTACAACTGTTATCGCTGCTTCCAAACAGTGAGGACCCCATGGCCGGCTGTTTTCGACGAAGGAGACACATGGAGCTTCTTGAGGGACTCTGAGACCGTCGCTGAGTTGGTGGGCGTCAGCGATCTGACGACGAAGGTGGTAGTGGTGGGGATACATTTCACTGAGTCTTCGCTTTCATCTCATATATATACTTGACTTTTAAGCCTTTCAAATCTAATCAGTTGCTGGTTAGAACTAACAATTGACCTGAATAGCCAGGATAAAACATATTCGTGCTTTTTAGCGATAAGAGAACCAGTAGATTGTTTCAGTCGCTTGACAACTATTGATATTAGAATAGAATTTGGACACTGTGGTAGAGTTTGGTTCTATCATAGAATAATTCTATTTAATAAAAACAAACAGTGCAACAGTATTATAAACTGATGTTTTTAATCATATCATATCACATAACTTCCAAACTTTGTTTATATAGTTACATTGTTTCTTATCCTTTGATTTTATGACCAATAAACTGTGCTCGAAACGTCACAAGTAATTAATACAGTAACAGTGTGTGTTTCTGAACAAATAAATTATTTTATGATGGAATTTGAAAACTGTGTTTTCCACTTTTTCAGTTAGCCAGAAACTTTTCAAGCATTTCAATAAAATATTCTGTATTTATGAAACATTCTTGAAAAAATTTGAGTTTTGTAGATATCAGAAAGAAATCTTAAGATTTTAGACTGATCTGGTTTTATCTCTATCGCACTGTTTTGTTGGCACCTACTGATAATCCGTTCGGAGGTCTAGAACCGCAAACAAATTAACATTTTGTAGGCTACCCCGAGGTTCCTCCTTTGGTTGGCACAGCACAGGGTTTCAATTCTGTTATTCTGTTCAACTTTTAGAAATCAAGACAAAGTCTGTAGTTTCTTTTAGGTCTACTCACTAACAAGACTGGTGAGCATTAAGGACTGTGGGCTTCCTTGATTATCCCTTCAATCAACATTTCGTGTTCTACTCAGTCCTTTTCCGTTAGATTGTGTATGACTAGTTGGTCACCGTCCACTTTCGCGTTATTCAAGT